CTCGAACTCTCAGAGATTCACCTGCCTCTGCCTCCCGAGTGCTGGGATTAAAGGCGTGCGCTACCAAGGCCCGGCTATGGGGCTTTTTAATATGGGTTTTCATCTGTTACTGCAATGTAAGGGGCTTGCTAGGCATCGCACACTGCCCTGGTTCATTCCCCCAGCTGCTGGGCTTACAGGCATGATCCACCATGCCAAGCTGTGTGTAGACCTTTATAATAAATAAGTCTGTATTTTAAAAATCTGCACAGGCAACACAGGGTGGCACAGACCTTTAAATCCCAGCATTTGGGAGGCAGAGGGCAGAGGCAGGTAGATCAAGTAAGTTCAAAGCCAGCCTCTGGTTACATATCAAGTTCCAGGACATCCAGGGATAACAAGAGAGAGTGGGTCTCAAAAACAAACAAACAAAAAACAAAGCCACCCAGAAATGTCTACATCATGTGTCCCTTTTTTCTTTTAAGTGGGAAGTCCCATTTCCAAACCACATCTGATCACCTTATTAGAGCAGGAGAGAGAGCCCTGGATGGTGGTGAAGGAAGAAACAGACAGGCCCAGCCCAGGTGAGTAGGAGGAAGGCGTGGCTCCAGCATGGGCAGACACAGCATGTGGTCAGAGAGTCACCTCATGCCTGGCACTGGGTTGACACACTTCCTTCAGAGTGCCGAGACCTGTTGAAGAACATGGCTGAGACCTGGGAGGGACGTCACGCTCACAGCAAAAGCTGTCACAGGGCCTTCGAGTTCATGAGTCAGCAAGGTGTTCTCATCTTCCTCCCTCTTACTGGAGCAGTTACCTTCTTTCTATCATTTTAAATGTATTTTATTATTGGTTGTGTGTGTGCACATGTGTGCAGGTTCCCAAAGAGAGTGTTAGCTCCCCTGAGGCTGCATTTACAGGTAGCTTCGGATACTTGAACTCAGGTCCTCTGGGAGAACAGTCATTGCTCTTAACTGCTGATCCAATGATAAGATACTTTGACACCAGTGAATGCAGTAACACATTTTAATTGTAAGTCTTCATAGTCACTCTATGAAAGTGTATAGACTGCAGCACTGGGGAGTTGGAAAAGGCAGATCCCTTGTCTGGCTAACTGCTCAGCCTACTTTACTTGGCAGGCAAATGAGAGACTGTTGCTGCCTCGGGGGCGGACAGGGAAATCCACAGCATCAGCACATAATAAGACTTTTTTACCTGATGGTTTCCTTCTATTCTGTGTTCTTCTCTGTGTTCTTTCTACCGTATACTTTTTTCTTCTAGCTTATCTATCCAAAGCCTTTCAGGCAATATAGGAATTACAATGTGGTTGCATTTTGTTTTTCAAGCGAATGATCACAATGAATTCCAAACAAACAGTAATAACAGTGTGTTTTCCATATCCCTTACATGACTAAACATTTTATGTATTATAAGTGAAAAACAAATTATCCCAAGAATTCATGTACACAGGCAACTTGTAGATGATATGTGTGGGCAAGCAAGCTATTCTTTTACTGGTAGGCTGAACTTTGCAGTTACAAAGAAAGGGCCAATTACTTTATTACTTGTCTTGAAAGGTAATCTTATAAGGAATCCCGAAGGAATCACAAACCTAAACTTTAGGGTGCAAACCCACTCATCAATAGTTTTTCATATCAGGAGATTGAGGGCAGAAATGGTGTAAGGAATTAATCATCACTTTGGTCATCAACCAATCTTAGCAAGACAGGTGCATCAGCCAACGATAATTGCCTGCTTTGTTCCTTTTCCCTGACCTTAATGAGTTCCCAATTGGACTTTGTGCCTTTCTAAAACTTAAGATTATCTTCTTGGGTCTTTTACCTCAAAGCTATTTGACAAAAACATCTTAATCTAACTTTATTTTCAAAGCCCTGTTTCAGCTATGCACCCAGAAATCTGTAAGCACATCTCCCAACGTTAAGACTAAAAGAATTTAAGCTAGCTGGGCTACTGGGACTCCGTTGTTTTTCTTAACCATTAACCTAAGCCACAGTCTACGCAGCTCCTCAATAGAAACTCATGTGTTCTAGCCACGTGACACTTCCTTGTTTGTGTTTCTAATGATCAGAACTCTGTGTAAACTAACATTATTATCATACAGTTCATTTAAGATGAAAACACCTTCATAATAACCCACAGGTAAAGATGCCCAGTAGAACGGGAAGTTTCCATAAGATAAACACTCCACATTTCAGCCAGTGGGGATTGCCCCACACCCATTCACACCGTGCCTTGTCATGCCATGGGTGTTGGGTTCACGAGGGTCTGAGGAAAGAAAACTCAGAGGCACCTTAAGAACGACTGTGGCCTTTCTCAGCTGCAGGGGATCCAACCTCTAAAGTACTGCCTCTCTCCTCACCCAGGGCTTCCTTTATTGTCTTCTGGTTTTATACCTTAGCAAGTTGATTTCCACATCCTCAAAACATCCCGAGGAAGCTTCCAAAGGCACAAGGCAAGTGCAAGCTCTCCATTCAGGAGGGACCCACAGTTTTCTGGGTTTCCTCCCCAGCCAAGTTTTGCATAGGCTTTTTGTATCCTTGGGAAACTCCCAGACAAGATTCACAAAAAGGGCAGCAAGGGAAGCAAAAGGTACCACTAAACAGAGGATGGATTAGGCGTAGGTACTCTGGAGCCAGACAGGTGTAGCCTAGCAGGAATGCTGCCACAGGGCCAGACACCAGAAAAAGATGGCAGCAGCAAACATGTAAAGGCGCAGCAGAAGCAAAAGCCATTCTGGGATCTGTGGTGTTGGGGCCTTGCCTATTCGAGACTCACCAATCAGGGAGTTGCCTCATGGCGGGCTGACATCTTAAACTTCAGTTGCCACCTGTTGTTGCCACTGACAAGAGACCCTGACTCAAAAAGAATAGGTGGACAAGACACCGAAACAACCCGTGAGCACACACAGCACAGCCTAACGCCTGGCGTGGCATGGGGGCTGTGAGGGCTTTTCTTGACTGACATCTTGACTATATCTGGAACTGAATAAAACCCACGCTGCTGGGTACACCTGTGAAAGATTTTTCTTTTTTCTTTTCTTTTTTTTGGTTTTTCGAGACAGGGTTCAGGGTTTCTCTGTGGCTTTGGAGGGTCCTGGACCTACCTCTGGTAGCCCAGGCTGGTCTCGAACTCACAGAGACTCTCCTGCCTCTGCCTCCTGAGTGCTGGGACTAAAGGTGTACGCCACCACCGCCTGGGCGAAAGATTTTTCTTAATTAAATCATTTGAATCGAGAAGACCCACCTTAAATCTGGGCCGCGCCTTCTGGTGGCCGCCTGTGCAAAGGGTGTGAGAGAAGGAAGGCCTTGCCTTTTGTCTGCTTCCCTCACTCTGCTGGCAAGTCCATTCCTTCACTGGCAGGAGAGCCTGCCTCTTCAGAGTCCAGCATGTACCTCAGGCCTGTGGAGACATCCTGCCTCACGGCGTGAACAGAGTGAACAACCACTGGATTCTCGCACTTTGTGTTGTTAGTCAGGCAGTGTTGGACTTGCTGGACCACAGCCTGTAAGCCACTCTCATAAGTCCATATATATAGAATGAAGACTTCTGTTCCTCTAGAGAACCCTGACTAACAAGGGCACTTATCTGTAATGCCAGGGTTTGGGAGGTGGAAGCAGGAAGATGAGAACTTCAAAGTTATCCTCAGCTGCGTACTGAGCTTGAGGCCAGCCTAGGTGACACGTATAGCTGAATGTTTTTCTCTGTCACGTTGGTCCTCCTGGACTGGTTTCTCTCCACTCTCTGGTCCCTGTAGCTGTTTATGAAATAATCACTCAGAAGCTAATATTAAATATAATTGTTTGGCCTGAGGCTTATTACTAGCTAGCTCCCTCTTGTAAATTATTAACCCATTTTTAATAATCTGTGTATAACCATGTGGCTGTGGCTTACCGGTAATGTTCTGGCTTCTTACCCCTTCTGCGGCTACATGGTGTCTCCCTGACTCTGCCTTCTTTCTCTATCTCTGTTTGGCTTTCTTGCCTACTTGTGTTCTGCTTGGCCATTGGCCAAATCAGCTTTATTTATCAACCAATAAAAGCAAGACACTTTCGGGGGCTGGAGAGATGGCTCAGAGGTTAAGAGCACCAGCTGTTCTTCCAGAGGTCCTGAGTTCAATTCCCAGCAACCACATGGTGACTCACAACCATCCATTATGAGATCTGTGCCCTCTTCTGGTGTGCAGATGTACATGGAAGCAGAATGTTGTATACATAATAAATAAGTAAAATCTTTAAAAAAAAAAAAAAGCACCACATTTTCACAGCATACAGAAGGACATCCCATATCAGACATGAGACCATCTGCAAACAGAGGGGCTGGGGAGGCAGTCCAGTCATTTAGAGCACTTGCTGCTCTTACAGAGGACCGAGGGTTCACTTCCAATATCCACTTGGTTTCTCACAGCTATATGGAGGCTTGCAACTGCCTATAACTCCAATTTCAAAGGACCTGATGCACTCTTAGTCTCCTTGGCCCTAGGTATGCATGTTGTTGTGTATATATGTGTACAATATATATACACGTTATATAATATACAGATACATGTATACACACACACACACACACACACATATATATATATGTATGCAAGCATTCATAGAAACATAAAAAATAAAGGAGTCATTAACAACAAAACCTGAACAAATTACAACAGCAACAATAACCCCCCAAATAAAACAGCTGAGAAAAACAGTTGCTACCTAAATGTACTCATTGTGCTACCTAAATGTACTAATTGGTAACATTTTGCCTCATATGCTGTGTTTATAGCTACACTAGATGTTTAAACACTCTTTGTCAAACTGTTTGATTTTAAGTCACTAATTTGACACTTGTGTGGTTCTGATAGGTCTGCCTTTATATGTTACTTGGCCTTTTTCCTTTGCTGCTCTTAATATTTTCTCTTTATTCTGTAGATTTGGTGTTTTGATTATTATATGTCGGGGGGATTTCTTTTTGTGGTCCAGTCTGTTTGGTGTCCTGTAGGCTTCTTGTACTTTCATAGGCCTATCCTTCTGTAGGTTGGGGAAGTTTTCTTATATGATTTTGTTGAATATGTTTTCTGTACCTTTGAGCAGTGTTTCTTCACCTTCTTCTATACCTATTATTCTTAGGTTCGGCTTTTTCACTGTGTCCCATATTTCCTGGATATTTTGTGTTAGGGATTTGTTGGACTTGAGATTTTCTTTGGTTGATGAATGTATATCCTCTAGCAAGTCTTCAATAACTGAGATTCTCTTGTCCATCTCTTGAATTCTATTAGTTATACTGACATCTTTAGTTCCTGATCGTTTATCTAGCCTTTCCATTTCCAGCGTCGCCTCATTCTGTGTTTTCTTTATTATTATTATCTTTATTATTATTATTATTTCTTTATTTCTTTATTCTATTTCAGCTTTCATGCTTTGAACTATTTTGAGTGCTTCCTTCACTTGTTTGGTTGTTTTTTTCTTGGGTTTCTTTAGATTCTTTAAGAGATTTGTTTATTTCTTGAATTTTTTGGTTTGTCTTTTCCTCCATTTCATGTAATTTTTTGCTTGCTTTTTCTTCTATTTCTTTAAGGGATTTTCTTGTTTCCTCTTTAAAGGTCTCTATCATCTTCCCGAGATAAATTTTGAGATCCATCTCTTCTTCATCTTTTGTGTCAAGATTTTCAGATCTTGCTGGTGTGGAGTCCCTAGATTCTGGTAGTGTCATATTGGTCTTTGTGTTGTTGAGTGAGTTCTTATTCTGTCTTCTTCCCATATCTTCTTCCAGTGGGTGCAGATGGGGTCTCTGTATCTCCTCTTGTGACCTCAGTATGGGACAGGTCGGCGAAGCAGGACCCAAGAGTTGGGTGTTTCCAGACTCAGGGAGCGCCTCCCTGGCCAGGCAGGTCTACTCTGAGCAGGCGCAGGCCCAGAGAGATCGGGGTGGATGGGGCTTTGGACAGGAGTTGGGCAAGAGCAGAGGGTCACTCACCTTGGTATGGGACAGGTCGGCGGAGCGGGAAAATTGTTGGTATTTCTTCCTGTCATCTCTAATTTTCTTCCTTTGTATCTTCTTTTAGTTACTTTGGTTAAGGGTTTGTCAGTCTTACTGGTTTTCTCAAAGAACCGTTTTATTGATTCCTTTGTAATTTCTTTGTTATTGTCTCTATTTTACTAACTTCAGTCCTTAATTTAATTATTTCTTGCTATCTATCCTTTTGAATGTAATTTTGTTTTAGAGCTTTCAGGTAAGCTGATGGTACGAGATCGCTCTCATTTCTTTGCAGTGGTACGTACTGCCATGAAATTTGTGCTGGAATATTTTTAACTTTGCCATATTCTTTCATGGAGGTACCCACTGCTTCTGTCGTGTCTTCAGTGTCTGAGATTCCCATCTCTTGATTTCTGTTGGTGAGACTTGTCTCTGAGCTTCCTGTTTGAGTTCCTAAATCCTCCCAGATATCCTCAGTTCAGGGTTTCCTTCTTGATTCTATTTCTTCTTTCAGGTCTTTAACTGCTTGGTCCATTTCCTTCCACTGTTTGTGTTTTCATAGATTTCTTTAAGAGATTCATTTATTTCCTACTTAGTGGCCTATACTCTATTTATAAAGGGTATTTTAATGGCTTTTTTCTTGTGCTTTAGCTATGTTGTAGTATTCAGGTCCTGCTGTGGTAGGGTTGCTGGCCTCCATTGTTTTTATGCTGGCATTTAGCTGTCTGCTTTTGGGAAGATTGTAATTCTAGGTGCTGGTATCTGGTCTTGCCTTTGTTGGGTGAGTGTCTTTTATTCTTTGGCTTCTGTTACCCTCTCTGGTTCTTAGGAGAGTGTGGGAGCTGTGTGTTGCCTGGTAGGAAATTCTTCTGGGATCCTGACAGGTGTGGCCATGGGGGCTCCAGGTAAAATGTGTTTCTAGGTATTGGAAGCTGACACAGGAATGGGGTTGGGCTAGGTGGGTGTTGTTGAGGGGGTCCACAGGAGGAAGGAAAATAAGTGTTCCACTAGGATCTGTTTAGTGCCCTGGGAATGGAGGCAGAGGGTCTGCTACTGAGCAGGGGGGGGAGAGGGAATGGGGAATAAGACTGGGGATTGGACGTGGAGGAGAGGAGGGAGAGGCGAGGATCTGCAGGTAGCTCACCCTTTTCCCTGGCTGGAGATCCTTAGTGACTGTAAACATTGTAATCAATCCACTGGAGATCCTTAGTAACTGTAAACATCGTAATCAATTCACTGGAGATCCTTAGTGACTGTAAATATCGGAATCAATTCACTGGCCCTGTCTGTCTTTCTTTCTTCCTTCCTTTCTTTCTTTCTTTCTTTCTTTCTTTCTTTCTTTCTTTCTTTCTTTCTTTAAGATTTTATTTATTTATTTATTTACTTGTTTATTTATTGTGTATACAACATTCTGCTTCCATGTATATCTGCACACTAGAAGAGGGCACCAGATCTCATAATGGATGGTTGTGAGCCACCATGTGGTTGCTGGGAATTGAACTCAGGACCTCTGGAAGAGCAGTCAGTGCTCTTAACCTCTGAGCCATCTCTCCAGTCCGCCCTGTTTTTCTTTTAGGTTTTTTTTTTTGTTTGTTTTTGTTTTTCCTCAGACGTCTCACTATCTAGTCCAAGCTGGCCTGGAGTTCATGACCCCGTTACCCATGGCTCCCTGTTGCTGGGATTACCTGTTGTTGTGTATGTACCAGCACCAGCACAGATTATAACCCCCTTTAATTTCTAAGAATCCCAAGCCCAGAGCAGGAGATGGTGGCACATGCCTTTAATCCCAGCTCTCAGGAGGCAGAAGAAGGTGGCTCTCTGAGTTCCAGTACAGCCTGATCTACACAGCAAGTTCCAAGACAGCCCTGGCTACACAGAGAAACCCTGTCTCAAAAAAAAAACAAAACAAAAAAAGAATTCCAAGTCCAAACCAGTTTTCTTAAGTCATGAAAGATAATCCGTATTTTTTTTTTTTTTTTGGTGGTATACTTTCCCCCCCTTGATTTGGTTTATTGTGGCAATCAAATCCATTGAGAAAGACCAAAGACTTGAGTCAATTCAAATTTAAATTAAATGAATTTATTCCTACTAGAGCAGAAGGCCAGCAGTGTTGGAGGGCAGCAGCATGCTGTACACAAGGGGTGGTGAGGTGTGTTTTTAAACATCAGAAAAGTGCACATTGCAACTACCCATGAAATGCACAGCTGGGCGGGAAACGTTGATTCCCACGATCAGCCTGCATGGCTGCCTGGCTGGAATTTTAGAGTTAATCGTGCTCGTGCTCGCCAGCCGCTCTGGTGTTCCTGCACCAGAAGAGGCAGTCTCTACCCTTCTGATGGTCTCCGAGACCCAAGCAAGAGTGTGCCACCCTTCCCATTTCTAGCTTCCAGCAGTCCTGTCTGCTCCTGGAACCCCGCCCAAAGGGGTGTGGCCACTAACACAAATTCACTGGCGAGGGGAGATGTTACTGCATTTTTGTTTCCTGCTATATAGTAAAAATAAATCATTTCATCCTATCTCATAGTGATAAGCAAGTCTTTTGTTTCTTTGTTGTTGTTGGTTGTTTGTTTTCTGAGAGGTAAGCAAATTTTACTGAAGCAAAAGCAGGTCCTGGCCCATTTTCCTGTTATTACACATGCAGGTCATTAGGATCTCCCAAGTATTCCAGCGCAAAAGGTCAGTGGTCCTTAAGGGATGCCTGTCTCCATATTAAGTTTCTTTAGCCATCACAGGGAACCTGTGTAAATCATTACTCAGATCTGAGCACTAATGACTGGGATACAACAGTTCGTTTGGGAAGACATTAATAACACAGTGCCATCAGATTAGGCTTGGCTTTTATGTCCCCTCACTTCCAAAAACCTTCACTGAAGGGTGTGAGTTTTGTAAAGAAGCATGTAAAATTATTTCAGTATAGTTAGTTATAATCTTGTTAAAGCAAACACGCCTTCCTATTTCTAACCTGTCCAACTTTCATTACTGCTGCTCTCCTTGCTCCTGTTTAGCTTCTCAGAAACTATGTTATAGTCTGGCCATTCATGTAAGGGATTTGTGTGTGTGTGTGTGTGTGTGTGTGTGTGTGTGTGTGTGTGTGTGTGTGTTACAGAAAAATAATGTATTCTTGCTTTCTCCTTTTCTTTCAGAATCGGAGTCATGTTATGAAGCTGAAAATATATCTCCAGAAAATCATATGTATAGTATAGATTTACCCAAACAGACCATAAAGCAATTAAGTAAAACTTTTTATCTCCATGGCTCCAGTTTTAGTAATGGCCCCAACTCTAGTACATTCAAGGAACTACAGAGTTGTCAAGGAGATGCTGATCAAAAGATTAGTAACAAGGAAAAAATGCCTACTTCCACCTGCAAAGCTCTGACTCACAACACAGAAAAGGTGTATGAATGTAAAGAATGTGGGAAGTGCTTTCGTTGTAGTTCAAACCTTATTCAGCATCAGACTATTCACACTGGTGTGAAGCCCTATGAATGTCAGGAATGTGGGAAAGCCTTCCGACTCCACCAACAACTTACAAGACATCAGAAATCGCACAGTGGTGAGAGACCTTTTGAATGTGAGGAGTGTGGAAAGACCTTTCATCTTCCCAATCTGCTTAAATACCATAAAACCATTCATTCAGGTACCAAGCCATTTGCTTGTGAGGAATGTGGGAAGTCCTTCAACCGAGTCTCTACTCTTTTTCAACATAGGATCATTCATGCTGGTGTGAGACCCTATGAATGTAGCGAGTGTGGGAAAGCCTTTAATCGGCGCTCGAACCTCATGCAGCATCAGAAAATTCATTCTGGAGAGAGACCCTTTCAGTGCAAGCATTGTGGGAAGGCCTTCACTGTTCTGGCACAGCTCACTCGGCACCAGAACATTCATACTGGAGAGAAGTCTTTTGAGTGTGAGCAGTGTGGGAAGATTTTCAGTAGTGGCTCGTACCTTGCACGACACCAGAGTATTCATACTAGTGAGAAACCCTTTGAGTGTAATGTGTGTGGGAAGGCTTTTCGGCTTCACCTGTATCTTTCTGAACACATGAAAACTCACACTGATGAGAAACCTTTCAAGTGTAAGCTGTGTGGGTCAGCCTTCAGACGTAAGTACCAGCTCAGTGAACATCAGAGAATCCATACTGACGTGAAACCCTATCAGTGCAAGGAATGTGGGAAAAACTTCCGTCGACGTTCGAATTTTACTGAACATCAGAGTATCCACACTGGAAAGAAACCGTTTGAATGCAAAGAATGTGGGAAAGTCTTCAGACTCAATATCCATCTCATTCGCCATCAGAGATTTCACAGTGGTGAGAGGCCTTTTGAATGTAAAGAGTGTGGAAAGGCTTTTCATTTTTCCAGCCAGCTTAATTACCATAAAACCATTCATACAGGCCAAACACCTTTTGAATGTGAGGAATGTGGGAAGTCCTTCAAGAGAGCCTCCAGCCTTGTTGAACATAGGATCATTCATGCTGGTGTGAAGCCCTATGAATGTAACGAGTGTGGGAAAGCCTTTAATCGGCGCTCAAACCTCATGCAGCATCAGAAAATTCACTCTGGAGAGAGACCCTTTCAGTGTAAGGAGTGTGGGAAGGCCTTCACTGTTCTGGCACAGCTCACTCGGCACCAGAGCATTCATACTGGGGAGAAGTCTTTTGAGTGTGAGCAGTGTGGGTCAGCTTTCAGACTTCAGTACCAACTTACTCAGCATCAGAGAATTCATACTGATGTTAAACCCTTTCAGTGCAAGGTGTGTGGGAAAGGCTTTATTCGTGGTACAGGCCTTCGAATTCACGAGAGAATCCACACTGGTGAGAAGCCCTTTCAATGTAAGGAATGTGGGGAGGCCTTTCAATATCATTACCAATTTCTTGGGCATTTTAGAATTCACACTGGCAAGAATCCTTATGAATGTACACAATGTGGGGAGTACTTTACTCGAGGTGCAGATCTTAAAGTACATCAAAGAATTCACACTGATGAGAAGAAACCTTACCAATGTTAAGAATGTTCGAAGCCCGTTAGTCGAAAGTCAAGCTTGGTTTGACATGCTTATATTCATATTGATAAGCCTTAGGATGTAAGGATTGTGTAAAGACCTTCAGGAATTCTAAGATAGCCTTATATTACAGAATTCATTACAGTGAGAAACCCTATGAATGTAAGAATTGGAGAAAATGTTTATATTTTTTTTCAGCCTTTATTGCACAGTGGAGAATTCATACTGGTATGGAACTTATCTGTGTGAAGAATGTGGAAAGACCTTCAATTCGAGCTCAGGCCTTCTTCAATCTAAAAGAATCCATGCTGGTGTGAAACCCTACCAATGCAAGGATAAATGTAGGAACATTATGGAATTAGCTCCTAAACCTCTTCAGAGAGGTCTGAAACCCTGTGAATGTAAAGAATGTGGGAAAGCCTTTATTGTAAATGATGAGCCTGTACAACCTCAGAAAATCCTCCTCCTCAGGAGTCCTGTGCATGTAAGGAAGGCAAGCACATCTTTGTGTGGACATTTTACTGAACATCAGAGGATTCCTTGGCACGATTGTGATGGAAAAGCATGTGGGAAGAAGTATAATTTGCCCTAGGATTTGGTCAACATCAGAGCGTTCATATACTCTCGATGCTGAGAGACCCTTAGAGGATGAGAACGTGGGAAAGCTGTTGTTCAGAGGTGACACTCTGTTGAGATGTTTTTGAATGTCAGAAGTGTAAGACGGCCATCATGCTCTTGATTCACTCTCATCTTGTTAATTCTATAAATTTAATTCAAGCAGTGCTCAACCAACATAGGGAGAGCAGTTATTGCAACTAGGGTTATGAATATCCCATGGCTCCTGTGATATTAGGTGCAATGTTTACTTTCTATCTAATTTGTTAATGACAATCACAGTACTAGACAAAGTTGTGGAAACAGTACAACAGATATAAAACCCTTGAAAGAATATTTGGCTTATGCCCATGTTCTGTAAAGTGGCTTTTACAGTGTTCTTGCTTTTATTGCCATTCCTGTAACTGATAGGAAATCGAATTGTATTGCAGGTGGTTTAGAGAAGCCTCATGCATTCCCATCCTATACCATTCAATTTTAAGTATCTTCATTCTGGGAAAAAAGATCTGATGGAAATGTGTATGAAAGGATTTTTATTGAGAATCCATTCCTTAAGTATTTGTGTAGAAAATTAAAAACATAGCTGTTAATGAAAAAGTACTTTCAAAGGGGGTTCAATACTTAAAATTTCAAAGGGTAAAACTATAATTTATGTTCTCTGTGCATCGTTAAGATAAATATACATTTGTGACATGGCAGGATAGTACAGGGTCTCCTCTATTGCATAGTCTTGCTGAAGCCATTTTAGGGGTGAGTATAATTTGACTTCTGATGGAGAATCTCATGGAAAATTACTGAACTCTGATGTCAGAACTAGAGGTCAAGATTCCCCAGTTAATTTATCTTGGCTTCTGTCAAACTGCCTGCCTGTGCAAACTTCCCTCTGCAGCTAACTGCTTATTTTGGCTTCTGTTAAACTGCCTGCTTGGGCAAAACCTCTCCCTGCATCTGCTGAACAAGATAGCAGGATTTTTTTTTAAGCTCCCTCCTCTAGACACTTGAGGCTACACTTGGGTCCCCACTACCAGACTCTAGTCCCAGCTGGCTGGAATAAAGACTTTCAGTTGGCTGTAGACTCTTGAGTGGTCTTTTCTGGTGACATCCCCATAAAGCATTAACAAAATAGCCAAAACTGGCTTGGTGGTGGTGGTGCAAACCTTAATCCCAGCATTTGGGAGTCAGAGGCAGGTGGAGTTTAAGCCCAGGCTGATTTGATTTTTTGTTTTGTTTGTTTTGTTTTGTTTTTGTGGTCTTTGGTTTATCAAGGGCCCACCACCCAGCTCCCAAATAAATACATGCAGTCTTATTCTTACTTATTAATGTACATTCTTAGCTTGGCTTGTTTCTTGTCAGCTTTTCCTAACTGAAATTATCCCATCTACCTTTTGCCTCTGGGCTTTTACATTTCTCTATTTCTGTTTATCTATACTTCTTACTTCATGGCTTGCTGTGTGGCTGGGTGGATGTACTCCTCTCCTTTATTTATTAATTTATTGTTATTTTGTTCCCTAATCTCAGCTTTCTTCTATTTATCTCTGCGTGCCAGCCCTGCCGACCTAGCTATTTTTCTTGCCTAGCTATTGGCCATTCAGCTCTTTATTAGACCAATAAGGCAAAGGATCACAGCTTCACAGAGTTAAACAAATTCAGCATAAAATAATGCACACAACTTTGCATCATTAGACAAATATTACACAGCATAAATGAATGTAATTCATCTTAACATTCCACAACAGACTACCAAGTGAGTTCTGGAACTGGCAGGGCTGTTGCATAGAGAAAGCCTGACTTGAAAAACAAAAAACAAACAAAATGTGTGTCTTCCGGCCTGGAGAGATGGCTCAGAGGTTAAGAGCACTGACTGCTCTACCAGAGGTCCCGAGTTCAATTCCCAGCAACCTCATGGTGGCTAACAACCATCCGTTATGAGATCTGGCGCCCTCTTCTGGTGTGCAGATAGACATGGAAGCAGAATGTTGTATACATAATAAATAAAATAAAAAAAATGTGTGTCTTCCTAAGATTTGGACTAGACGTGGATTCACCCACTTCCAGCAGACAATGTGCTCTCTATTTTGGGATTGTCATGGCACTTACAACTTAAGAGAGAATAATTCAGTCAAGGTTCCTGCTTGCTAAGATGGAGCCATTGAATGGCAGGTGCTGTCAGAAAGCTGATATTCCATACAATTCAGAGTAACCGACAGCCAGCCCAGCTGTTCTCCATATGTGCTCATTAGGTTTGGGGTGTGAGGGACCTGTGTTTTTCATTCTCAGGACCACATTCCATACCAGTGACTTTTGTACCAGTTATGGGTGGTCTCTAGGTTTCTGTTGTAGTTAGTTACCATCAATCAAAGTGAAAACATCTCCTTGGTTCCCAGTGAATACTATTATTTTCCCAGGAAGACCCCCACCCCCATATTCAATACACTCTGCTTACATAGTTACAGAAACAGTAATATTTATCAATTGGCCATGACTATCTGGAACTGATGAAATTTATTCTAATGTTTTGCTGGACACAGCTACCCAGATGGGAGGTATTTTGGCCATTCTGAACCCTTTCTTTAAAATGGCTTAGTATTTCTAAAATTTGTCTTAAAGGTGTTTAAAAAAAAAAACTTCAAATTTTTTTTTATAAGTTTAGAGTACTCATTTTGTCATCAGCAGGAAGTTAACACTCCAACTCTGCCAGTAGCCAGAGGAGTCCATTCATCATAGGGACCACCAAATATAGTTGAATTCTTGTTTACACCACAGGTTTTAAGGATGAGCTAGAATAAGGCAAGGTAGTTTATTAAGTTAGGGGCTTGGGCACAATGGCTATATATTTACATTCCTCAAAGGGCACTGTACAACAAAGTTTAGAGTGAAACATTTAAATAAAGGGAGAAATGGAAAACATTAGGTGGTTTACTGATTTAAGATCCATCTTTGTTTTGGTGATGTGTACTTGTGTAAATCTGCGTGAGGGTATGTGCCTATGATTGCAGGTGCCTTACAGATTAGAAGAGGTTGTTAGACACCTAGGAGCTTGAGTTCCAAGCAGTTGTGAATCATTTGATGTAGGTTCTAAGAAACAAACTCAGGTCTGCCTCAAGAATAGCATGTTCTCTTTATCTTGGGACCACCCCAGCTACTGGTTTCATAATGAACACTGCAGGGTGGCGTTAGTTGCATTGTGTAGATATGGGTTGAAAGGAAGAGGAGAGTTGATAAAGTTAGATGCAAGGCCACAAACATTCTAGCCCTTGATTAGGACACTTGATTTAACAGTCTTGAGTTGTCTTAGGGAGACAGCTCAGTTTTACCAACTGTGTTGAATGTGGGGAGTGGAGGAAGCCTTGATTGGGTGTGTAAAGAGTGGATGCAGTCAAGAATGAAGGCCAACTCCCATCAGACTCGAGCATGGGCATGGGTACTTCAAGGAGCCCAGTGCCCTCAGATCTATGGGAGTGCCAGTGCCTTGTCTGGGTCAGGCTGTGGGAAATGCCTTTCCCTGGTCCATGTGTGGATGCTGACAGTGTGTGCAGAAAACCTCAGCTTCCTCCTGGATGTTCACAGCCTGAGCCTGTTCCCCAGCAGAGACCAGTGTCTGAGATTTGCTGAATCTACTCCCTTATTCAGCTGTTTACAACAAGAAGTCTTCACTAAGATATAGAAAGAACAAAAAGAAAATCAAAACCCAAACTCCCTAGGTTATTGTTGTAAAAGGCCCCCGCAGACTTTAGCACGACCGTCTTCATGATGGAAGTAGATCTATACAAAATGCTTTCAATATACAGCATATAGAAAGCAGTATTAGCCAACGCAAAAAACAAAGACCTGATCCATCGAAGACCATTGTTCTGGGAAAGTCTCTAAATGTTCTAACCTTGCTTTTGGGGTTTTGTAGTTCTACCTGGAGAACTGTTCATGTGAACTCAAGTATCTCAACCCAGGATATTGTTTTGGTGCTTAAAAGCTCACCCGGAAAAAAGGCTTGGGCATGGATACATTGGGATCCAGAATACCTGTGTAGTTACTGGCCAGCTACTAAAGACGTTCTACTGGCTTAAACCCACCTCTGAGTATTCTTCTATGATGGACAGTCACAGCATTTCTGGCAACCCTACTCAGTTCTGTGGACACCAAACCTCAAGGCACTAGGGACCTCAGAGACCTTCAGAGCAGGCCAGAGGTTTAGTACATGGGGGTGTACAATGTGAAGACTTACCAGGTCCCCAGGGCAGTCACTGCGTAAGACTTGGGAAGAGTCTGACACTTCCATCTAAAAGGAAACAAATGAGAAGGTCTCCAGGTCTGTCCCCTCTGGAGGTGAGTCTGGTTAAGTTAGAAGGTCTCCAGGTCTGTCCCCTCTGGAGGTGAGTCTGGTTAAGTTAGAAGGTCTCCAGGTCTGTCCCCTCTGGAGGTGAGTCTGGTTAAGTTAGAAGGTCTCCAGGTCTGTCCCCTCTGGAGGTAAGTCTGGTTAAGGCGCCTTCTGTTCAAGACACAAAGGAAAGTCTGAATGTGGCTTCTGATCCAGTGTCTGTGAGTCAAGCATTAAAAAACAAAATAAAAAACCAGCTGTTCTGTTCAGATGTATGAATGTGTGGTGGCCACGCCTGGTTGTCTTCACTGTGTGTGTCTCTGTGTGTGTCCCTCTGTGTGCTTCTCTCAGTGATTGGAGAAACAGATCTAAAATGAAAGAGGGGATGATTCTTCCTGGGACGGTACCCAGAAGCTGCCTCCCTGGGATGACGTCCCTCAGTCTCACATGCAGGGTTGTACCCTGGTCCCCCTTTCACACAGTGACTGGGTGTACCAGTGGCTATTGCTATAGCAATGGTGGCCACTATGGCCCAAATGAGTGTTTTGCAGATGAGGACAGATATGATGTCTTTTGTTTCTTGCACAGAAAAGGTCTGGACATTCTGTGAAATAAATTGGCATCATTTGGAGTCAAGTGGCCCAGTGATTGCTCAGGCCTTCTGAAATATGAAGCCCCATTCATCCCCACCAGGTTCCTTGTCGTGACTAGTGGCTTTCTCTGGAGTGGAAGAGATTCCCCCTCCCAGCTGAATATCTGTGCCCTCTTCTTGAGGACTCAAACTCTTTTGGCTCCACCAGTTCTCACAGAATAACAAAAATCCTATTGTCAGGTCTTTGGCTCCTATAGCACTTGCTTGTTTCATTGTGTGACTCCATCTCTTGGTCCTGATTGGTCCTGTTTTCTGTATGGAGGCAGGGAAGGGCCCCTGCCACCTAACCGGAATGCACACAGAGAGGGAGGAATAGCCTCTCCTTAATGCTGCTCTAAGCAACCTGTTGCACCCAATAGATGGAGAAAGGCAAAAAAAAATTCCCTCTTTCCTTTTTTATGGATTATGCTTTCTTTTCAACCAGTAACTAATATAATTGGAAAACTCAAAACCTACCAATTTTTGTAATTTTAGTTCCAACTTCCATATATTTAATTTTTCTCCTAGTAAAACTAGTCTTTAAGTTAAAAAGTGAATACTTACCTTTTATCAAAAGGCAGAGTCATGATTTAAAAAAAAAAACCACCCCCCCCCCCAAAAAAAAAAAAAAAAACAAAAAACTACCGTTCTCCGAGGAGTAGATAAACCACACCCAGCGGAGTGGAAGGCTCACTGCTGGACAATGCAGCCAGGAGAGAACGGATTTTCCCTTCTATCTAATGCTGACCAAGTAGGCAATTTTCTCTAGACCCTTTAAGAAGATGAGAAACAGCTGCTAAAAAGATTCCTTTTTCACTTAGTCAACCCCAGATATTAGAAAAAAAAAGGTTATAAAAGTAGATGGATGAGAAGGGAAGAAGAGGAGGGATGCAGAGGTCATAAGGGAGCAGAAAGCTTGAGTCAGGGGAAGAATAGAAGAAAGGGTATGGAATAGGTAGGGTTTTAGTTGGGGGGGTGGTAGGGGAGGAGGGGAGTGAGAAGGAACTGGGATTGTCATGTAAAACAATCTTGTTTCTAATTCAAATAAAAAATGATTTTAAAAAAAGACATAAATAAGTCCCAGCTCATGGAGGTAGCTCAAAAGTTATTTAACAACAAAAACTGATCCA